TATCTATCTATCTATCTATCTATCTATCTATCTATCTATCTATCTATCTATCTATAATCCTCTCTATCTTGCACTCTCTTTCCCGTGTGTTTTAATTTCAGAGGCACACGCCTGAACACTCTCTCTGAAAGGAACTGGAAACTCCATCTTTTTAATAATCTGAATAAGTATGTTCCGCTCTTGTTGCGACACCTGAAATTAGGAATAATAATATGTTGATGTGGACAAGAACAAAAAACGTGACAAGGTAAAGAGTTGTCTTAATGGCATCTTAATGATCTGGTGCGATGCTTCAAGGAGATACAGCATGTTGTTTGCAGATTGCAATAATCGGATTTTGCGAAGCTGAGATTTTGGGAAAAGAGAGAAGAAAAAGGATAGAATTTGTCCAGAGCCAGTAGCAATCAATTTTAACAGGGCGTTGGGAGCAAACCGATAACGAGGAGATAATAAAGGAATATTCTCACAGTGCTGTCTCTTGTGGGGGGGCAACATAAAGAAAAGAAAGTTATACAAGCGTCTTGTCGGGCTCACCATTGTGACCGGTCAATGAACCTGCACGTGTTCTGAGTGCTTTGAAAAGTACAGGACTCAGGAATGGGGGGAGATTATTGATTTTTTTTTTTGATCACTCGGGGATAGGGGGAGGGCTGGACGCAACACCAGAGGACCAAAAAAAAACAAAAAACCTGAAACTGGAAGCAAATATGTTTAATGTTTAGAATTTTGATTACTACTACAACAGCTCTCTGCTAAGTAAGATTTTCAGTGTCACTGCATTTTGCTCTCCCTTAGGAAAGATGACAGGGAGTAGATTGGGATCATTTTTGGGATTACATTCCGTTCACAACACACAAAAAGCGGAGTGAAAAAAGAAAAAGGTCAAGGTCGTGAAAGGAGCGAAGCAGTTACCGTGCACCTAGCTCAAGCACCCCCCCCCACCAAACAATATACCCGGTTACCGTGTTCGTAGATAATGAGAGGCGCCCGGCTGCTGGTTACCATGTACGTAGATATTGAGGCTACGCGCCCGGTTACCGTGTGTGTGACATTGAGACTACACGCCCAGTTGCCGGTTACCATGTACGTAGACACTGAGGCTACGTGCCCGGTTACCGTGTACATATTAAGTGACTTTGAGACTACACGCCCGGTTGCCGGTTACAGTGTTCGTAGACACTGAGGCTAGCGTGCGTGCCCGGTTACCGTGTACGTTGACCCTGAGGCTACGTGCCCGGTTACCGTGTACGTAATAATAATAATAATAGATAGCATTTGTATAGCGCATATCCCCGCTCAACAGCAGGCTCTATGCGCTTTACACTATATTACCGAAACACTCCGAAACACAAAAGTAAATTAATTTGGTCGTCTACAAAGATGCTACGGCTATTTAACTTTTGGAAGTGGCTATCCTCACCCGGGGTGAGAATAAAAATACGATTGACCTCTCACCCCGGGTGAGATTACAGCGTAGGCTATTCTCACCCGGTGTGAAACAAGACCTGTTTTTCCTCATTTCGGAAAACTGTCTCTCGGTGTGGATGATCAAATTGACAATTTTAAAAGCAAAGAAAAAATTACATTGTAGCACAAAAGTAAGCTAATTTGATCGTCTACAAAGATGCTAGGGCTATTTAACTTTTCGAATCGAGCCGAACTACGCGGGTCGCCATTTTGTTTTGCCTGAAAGTTCTCGCGCTACTCCTCTCTCTCTCTCTTTCTCTCTCCACTGGCCATAGACAAAATTGCACGCTTTATTTAGGGTAACAGAAGTAACACAAGAGCGCTGGAACGTTTGTTCACGGCACAGAATTCTACAGTTCTGTAAATCACAGTGTAGAATTCTGTAGTTCAGGGTGAACGCTACACTGGTTGACCTAGGCTATAACGGTGAACGCACACCGGGTGAGAATAGCCAAGGCTTATCTGCGCTATTCTCACCCGGCGTGAGAATAGAGGTCGCCTTAACTTTTCGAATCGAGCCGAACTACGCGGGTCGCCATTTTGTTTTGCCCGGAAGTTCTCGTGCTACTCCTCTCTCTCTCTCTCTCTCTTTCTCTCTCTCTTTCTCTCTCTCTCTCTCCACTGCCCACAGACAAAATTGTACGGTTTTAGGCTAACAGTAACAGTAGTAATGGAACGTTTGTTCATGTCGCAGAATTCTACAATTTTTCTGTTATCACAGTGTAGAATTCTATGGTTCAGGGTGAACGCAAAATTGGTTGGCCTAGATCTAGGCTATAAAGGTGAAGGCACAGCGGATGAGAATAACCAAAAGACTCGCCTGTGTTATTCTCACCCGGGGTTAGAATAGAGGTGGCCACAAAAAAAAATACGATCGACCTCTCATCCCGGGTGAGACTTGCCAGCGTTGGCTATTCTCACCCGACGTGAAACAAGACCTGTTTTTCCTAATTTCGGAAAACTGTCTATCAGTGTGGCTGATGAAATTGACAAAAGCAAAGAAAAAAATGACGTTATACTAGCATCTGCATTTTTTGCCATTTTTTTGTCCAAAAGTTGCCCAAAGCCCCAAAAATGGCAAAAGTTGCCATTAATTTTCAAGCTTTCAGCTCTCTGTGACGATGTAGATCTATATAATATAGCAATATATTGAGGCAACTTAATCTGAAACACCAGAATTTCTTGTGCTGTTTCAAGCAACCAGCACATCATTTGTAGCCACTCAGAGTATAAAAACGTCAAAAATAAAGGTTTCACAACAGAATGAAATCAAAATAAGAACAGCAAATAAACAACCACAAAAATTAACAAATAAGGGCGAGTGTCAACCCATCCAGAAAAAGTACAGGATACATAATAATGATAATTATAATAATAAGAGCATTTGTATCCCGCCTTTCCCCACATCATGGGCCCAAGGCATACATAGGAGATTAAAAACGCATTCATACTAACACCATACAAATTCATCATGTGCGCACTTTTTGACAGCAACATTCTCTCAGACAATAAAAAAAATGCTCATACAAAAAGGCAAAGGTACTGTCCATTAATTAGAATATTTCTTAAATAGAAGTGTTTTGAGTCCCCTTTTGAAAGTATCAAGTTTTATTTCGCTCCTCAAATCATGAGGGAGAGTGTTCCAAACTGTTGGCCCAGAAAAAGAAAAAGCTGTCTCACCATATTTCTTCAGTGACACACGAGGTGTTGAAATTAGTCTAGAGCCACTGGATCTTAGTTCACGTGATGGTGTGTATGGTACAATGAGTTCTTGAATGTATGTGGGAGACTGGTTAGTTTGACCTTTAAAGCATAGTAGGGCTAACTTATATTCACTTCTCGCTTTCAGTTAAGCAGGGGGGGTCACATGATGGCGTTTTGATTGCTTTAATACTAGCCTGGCAGCATTGTTTTGAATGCGTGGGAGTTTTGCAATTTTTTCTATGGGTAGGCCAGCGAACAGTGAATTGCAATAATCAATGCGTGACAAAATGAAGGCAAACACTAGTTTTTTGGTGGCATCAGTGCTAAGAAATTTCCTTATGTGAGCAATTTTTTCTCATTTCTAAGTATGAAATTTTACATAGATGGTTAAGTTGGGTCTCCATGGACAAGTCTTTGTCTAAGTATACTCCTAAATTTTTTGCTTTGTTTGAAAAAGCGACAGTACCTTTGCCAATGATGAGACATTCTACATGAAGAGCATTTATTTTTTACATAGATGGAATCACAAATGGGCCTGCCAGTGTCAGTACTTGGTTTTGGTGGAGACATGCTCTAACATAACACATTTTTACAAAATGGTAGAAGAAGCAACATTACACTATATAAACACCAAAAAAAGTAGAAAACAACACATGGGAACAATAACAAGTTTAAAAAATTATTACACCTACAAATTAAAACCCAACGCTGAGGGAAACATGAAAGAGGAACAGCAATATAAATAGTATGTAATTACAGTAATGTAGCATACTTTTTCTTCACATGAAAATTACAAAATCAACGTAGTGTTAACAAGTGAGAAAAAGACGAAGTGTAGTGAAAGTGAAAATAAACTTTCTTTCTAAAAGTAAAGAGGTTGGGCTTCTTTTTCTTCGCGAATATTATTCCCTACTTTTTTTTTCTTCCTGACGGTGTTTTTTTGCCAGAAAATGCAAAAATCGCGACCGCGATTCTCGGACCAAACAAACGCAGACGCTAGGTTATAGCACAAAAGTAAGCTAAGTTGATTGTCTACAAAGATGCTATGGCATGGCTATAATCACTTTTCGAATTGAGTCGGACTACGCGGGTCGCCATTTTGTTTTGCCTGGAAGTTCTCGCAAGATCTACTCCTCCCCCCTATCTATCTATCTATCTATCTATCTATCTATCTATCTATCTATCTATCTATCTATCTATCTATCTCTCTCTCTCTCTCTCTTTCTCTTTTTGAATACTGTCAATCTGTGTGGACGATCAAATTGACCAAAACAAAGAAAAGTTTTAAAATGATGTTAAAACACAAAAGTAAATTAATTTGATCGTTCACAAAGATACTACAGCTATTTTACTTTTCGAATTGAGTCGAACTACGCGGGTCGCCATTTTGTTTTGCCCGGAAGTTCTTGTGCTACTACTCTCTCTCTCTTTCTCTCTCTCACTCTCCACTGCCCACAGATAAAATTGCACGCTTTTAGGCTTCTAGGAGTAGTAACACAAGAGCGCTGGAAGTTTGTTCACGGCACAGAATTCTACAATTTTATTATCACAGTGTAGAATTCTGTAGTTCAGGGTGAACGCTACACTGGTTGGCCTGCGAACGCACACCGGGTGAGAATAGCCAAAGCCAAAAGGCTCGCCTGCGCTATTCTCACCCAGGGTGAGAACAGAGGTGACCTTTGTATAGAGTAGAGATCTATATAATCTATGATTTCCTTCGTCATGACAATCATGTCACGTACGAATTCGGTAATTTTTACAAAATGTGTCTGCACAGTGGAATCTGGTGCTCCTCAAAATGTTTGGAATTTGGATGGATTGATTTCCTTAAAGAGCGGCCAACCCAACAAGAAAAATAAAGTTTATAAAGAAGAGACATGCATGATTTACAATAATCTAGGTAGGCTATATATATAATCTATAACCTAACCCTGACCGGTGATCTTGTAGTTCCGTTTGTATAAGTCCACGATCCATTTGTTTACATCCAAAGGAGAAATCCAGAAGTCTTTATGACCAAATAGGCTACACAAAGAGCAGGGATGTAACCTAACTGCTAAACATCATATTATGGTAAAATTGCCCCCCTTAACCCCCCACCTCCATATTTTTATTAGACCCCTGAAACCCCCCAATTCTTGACTTTAATGAACGAAACTACAAAATCGCCCCCTGACCCAACCCCTAATTCCTAATCATTACCGACCCCTACCCAGGCGCAGTTCGTTAACTATGCAAGACCGGCAGCCACGGTCACATTTTATTGGCTGGACAGTCGACAGGAGATCTTTATTGCTGCTAATAAATTTCATTCAATTTCAAGTAAATCTTAATTTATATTACGGATCCGTTTAATATTGTCAAGGTATTCTTAACTTTCCCTTCCGTCTCACACTTACCTACTAGTTGTCCAATTTTCTACTTAATACTAAATATTGATGCGCTGAACACGAATATATTAACTTCATTTCCGTCACAAATTAATAGCTTCTTAAATATTTGATTGTTCTGAATCGAGCAATATCACACTTTTATAACCGCGTAGTAATTTGCACGCGGCTGCCCCCCCCCCCCCCCCCCCCTTGGGTAAAAAAAATCTGGGGGTTACAGGGTGGCCTTTTGACCTATAATTTGATATTTTACAAAAAGTCTAAAGGTTTTGAAATTTTCTTGGAAATAATTTATTTGCGACTGTTTTGGTGGCTGAAATTCTTAGATTACACATCGAACAAGAAATTTAGATTCTATTTTCTATCCATAGGTAACCTGAACATGAGACAGCAGTGAAAGTAAAACATTACCATGGATTCACGTATAAAATAATTTTTAAAATTTTATGTTTTGTAAATTGTAACTTTATTGTGAATGTTCACATAGAATTCTTTGTTCTTTTCAGAGACTCAAAGCAGCTACTTATTACAGTATCAAGCAAATTTCCAAAGAAGTTGAAGAGGACATGGAAGTTTCTTTCAACCCTCAGATCCTTGCTTTGTTAAATGAGAGCCTTCACAGACAGACGGAATCGTGGGCCATTGATCTGGAAAACTTTGCCAAGTAAGCCGTTGTCAGTGACATGTGAGGCAGCATGGTGAAATCAGGTAGCCTACTCGTCTAAACAATGAAAACAAAGAAAACGGCATCTTTCTTACCCTTTTGTCAATTTTCGTTGAATTTTAATTTTTTGAGTAATTACCTTTTTTTTTGATTAAATGAATTTGTCCATTTGAAACAATTTGCAGTGTGGCTTTCACTGAAAAATGATGACTAAACCAAAGGTACAAAAATGTAAATTTATGGTTTTCAAGGACTATCAAGCTTTATAAGTCATCACACTTTGGTGGTCATTTTACCTCTCATTTTACCTCTGAAATCAGGAGACTCCACATACTTCAATCCAAAATATCTTGAGGTCTATTGAAGATAGAGGGAACATTTTTTTCACAAAAGCAAGACAAGTGAACCAGCTTTAAGATGATACCTAATTATAACTCAATATGCCCAAAAATGGACGAGCGCCTGATTCCACTGTGTTGTGACACATATTATTGTGTGACAGGAATCTTTTCAGTATTCTCTTGACTTAGAACATTGGGTACTTTGTTGATTTTATAAATTAGAAGGTCATAGTAATAGTACTATTTTACTGTGCCAGATGTTTCAATTAACCAGTAAAAGAGCACAGAGTTGGCCCCTTTCTTACCGTGAAATAAATTCAAAAATTAATATTTTAATCATTTCTGCTCTGTTGGCTTGTTGCCTACAATTGCAAAGAGAGGCTACTCTGCAGTTACATTATCAGACTAATCTTTGTGCTATCAACAAAAACATCTTGTTGTAGTAAATTGTACTTGTCCCTGTGCTAAGGCATCTATGGTTTTCATTGTTGTCATGGGACATTTTGCTTTATAGTCTTTGAACAATTGGTAATAATGTAGAGGAGATACTGCATGAGCATATTTAAATGTGTTGCAGCGTGGTGGAATCAGGCTCTCGTCAATTTTTGGGCATATTGAGTTATTGGTATCATTTTAAAGCTTGTTCATTGTCTTGCTTTCTATGAAAAAATTACCCACCCATCTTCAATAGAAGTGGAGATATTTTGGATTGAAGGAGGTGGGAGTCACCTGGTTTAAGAGGTAAAATTAGGGAGAAAATGGCTTCCAAAGCTATGTAAAATCTATAGCTGGAGAGTCCATGGAAACTGTAAATTTATATTTTTGTGCCTTTAATCAAACTTTTTTTTTCGGTGAAACCCTGAAAGGAATGTGTCTATAAACGGACATAAAAGGTGTTGAGCCAAAAAACAAAAACTGCTGTTTTCTTCGATTTCATTATTTTGACGAGAGCCTAATTCCACCACGCTGCCTCACAAATTACAATTTGTTATTGTGTTGAATGGTTTTCTTTGCTCAAGCAAAACAAACTGAGGATGTTGGTGATCTGATATTTCCCCTTCTACTTTGTTTTCATCACTACTGTCACCATTACCCAGGTCTGTGGCAGATATGGTTCTCAGTTCTTGCTATATATATACAGCAGTCTCCGCCTAAACGCACGGTGCTCGGGAGGGCTCCTCAGCGTGTGTTTATACGGAGCGTGCCTTTACCTGAACCTGTACAAATGTAGGAAGGGACGCAACCATCTCATTTCCTTGGTATTTTAGTGACCTTCCTTGAGGGTTACTGTTATCTCTGATGATGATTTTGTTCAACATGACCTCAAGGTCTTACTTGATCAAAAATCGATTCGAGTTTCTTTCTCTAGCACTAGCGATGTTGACAGCTCGGTGTCAGCGATCAGAAAGAAAGGACTCTAGGCTAACTTGCCGTGGTGTTGTCCTCCACCTCACCACGCCCTGTGGTGCGTTCCGTCTGTTTGCGCACATTGGGTACACACCACACCCTACCCACGTCACACCTTCGCACAATACATCACAGCACTGTGACCTCTCTATCCCCGCATCGGAAAAGTGCAAGGCAGGCAGGCCTAGATAATCTAGACTGGGCTGGCCTATCACCCGATGCGTTCTGCTTGTCTGCGCATGCCACACCCTCCCCACTCTTTCGCTCTCCTGCCTTCTTTGTTGGCACACGTGAGCTCTCCCATTCTTTGTTGCGCTAGATCCCCAAGTTTCTCAACTGGGGAGGTTTTACGTATACATACATATATTATATGAAAATATTGCCTATGCGCTGTGCACAGCAGCAGCAATATTCTGCTACCGACTCGGGTGTTTGTCTGATTGTGCTATAGCAGTAATTTACAAAGGGAAAAAAACAGGGTTTTAGAATAGTGCCTTATAAAAGACTTCTCATTATTTCAGGACTCGCTTTAAGTGGACTCCTCTGTACCAACTGAGTTAATGGTGCGTTCAATTTTCTAATGTTCTGAAATGTGTCAATGGGGGCTTAAAACATTTACTATCAAGGTGGAACTTGGAAGTGATGCAGATAATATTTTGTGCATACTGATCTTGGTCCAGAAATTATTGTTATTATTGCACATTCATGTGCTGATTATCTTTCTGATTTGTTTATTCAACAGACATGCCAAGAGAACTGATGTCAATTTGGCTGATGTGCGTTTGCTTGCACGACGTAATAATACACTGGTGAGGCCAAACACTTGAATCTTTTATGTATCTCTCATGTAATAATAACATCAAATAGACAGAGATTTTCAAAGTGTAACATAAATTGTACTAGATCTGTTCAAGTGACTCAAAGTTATATTCAAATGAAATAACCAGTTTGCGAACTGTGCCTGACATTTGCATGATGACCTTTCTTCTGCCTTCACATAGTTCTTGCTGTGGTAGTAGTAGTAGTTCATGTTCCGGGTTTTTATTGGCCTTACATTCAACCATTTGCTGTCAGCTGTCTTCATGTACATTATCCCTGTCATTGTTATGTACACATAGTTTCATAGAGCTTAATTAAATTGCATGTCCTCTCCTCAGCGCCCACATGTTTAGGGTACAGGTAATATTTTTAAATATGGTGGGATAAACAAGTAGTGCAACAGAGAGCAGCGATTTTGTTTCTGATAACGTAACTCATTGAGTTTGTTCCCTTTGTCATTCCCCCACTGGGTTTTTGGGGGGTTTAATTTTAATTTACGTTTTTACGATACGATGCATGGTATCTTTAAAGTCATGATTTTTAAGGTAAAAAGTTTTTTCTTATACGTGACAGTGTACAAATTACTTTGTTCTGTGGTCTGCTAACCGGTATCTGTGGTGTAGCTGTTAGATGGTTCACTGTCCCACGTAGGAGACCTGAGTTCGATTCTTGAGTGGGGAGAAATTTCTATCGATTGTCTTGGTCTTTCTGCTAGAATGTTGTATCCTCTTAAGCTCATCCCGGGATAGCCGTGACATGCGGGGTTTGAAGCCTGCCTTCTAAATGATCTAAATTGTGTTGATGGGGGAGTAAAAACTTTTCATTAAAATAACGTTGTGGTCTGCTTAATTAATTCCCTTGATTCTGGTTCACTGGCAATTGTTTGGTCCTTGCAGCTGGCTCACATAGACTCACTGATTGAAGAGATGAATGCGACAGAGACGGAAAACAAGCAGCAAAAGGATGGGAAAAAGGAGCGGGGAAAGAAAAGAAAAGCGACATCAGAAGTTGATCCAGATGAATGTTGAGGGTCGTTTTTAGAGCTCTTGACGTTTTCACGGTGTAAAAATTTTACTTTGACAAAAGACAGATCTGTCCCAGAGTGGATGGAATGTTTCTGATTAGATATTTTATTTTCACTTTCAGAATGTGTGCAGTGTATATTTTCTCACGACAGTAAGTGGTGGAGTGCACCGCCGTTATGCCCATCTATAATTTTTTGTCTGTCAGTCTCGTTCCCTGAATTATGAATTTTATGCAGATCGTTGGCAGATGTTTTGTGCAAATAATGTTCCTGAGTGTAAAATTGCATTGCAAATGTAAATAGGCCTATGTTGTTGTACATTGTTTTGAATGGTTTTCATATATGATATATGCTGACGTCTGTGTATCTGCTGATAATAAGGGCTGTTTTATTTTCTCAAAAGGACCCTAGCTTGTATATTATACAATAAAATTAAAGGTTGGTGTACATCATATTGTCTTTGAGTTTCGTTTTTCTTCAGCTTGATTTTGTGGTTCACTTTTGATATATTTTGAACATATAAATGTATCTCATTTCCTTTCCTTTGTAGCACCACAAGAGTTGATCAATTGAAATAAAATTTATTAAGTCAACTTGATAAACCAAAAAGCATCCGTGCCACCTCGGCCAGCCAGCAAAGTAAAGTTCAGCTGGAACTGTAGGTCTATGTGGGTGCTCGATCTCTATTTTCGTAGTAACTTTATCAGACCGAAGGGCTAGAACCCAAATGGCCGCTGGATCGGAAAAGTAAAAGTAAAGTAGGTAGTAACTTTATTAGTTTACAGTATATGGTGTACGCCTACAATGTAGGCTACTAGTTTTTTCCCCCTGCATATATGGCAATCGCTCAAGACAAATCTATATGAGGCAAGATTAGCCAGTTTGTCTCTGGTCTCTACCAGTTTACCACTAAACTACAGAGGAAACCTGATATGACAGGGATGGTGGGAGTATAGAAAAAGTCCTGTTATATCAGATCCCTGTTGAATCAGAAATGCAAGGGTAGTAAGCATTTGTGGACTAATCCAGTTGTCTTTATTCATGGGTAGTTTCTCTTGCCACAAGTAGCCTACCCACGAACAGGCATTTTGGCCATGTGGCAGGCCTGCGCATGACACATATTACGTGTATGTGTAGCTAGGCTTAGGGCTTGATTGAAGTCTGCAGCACACCGCAGCTCTCTCTCACTTCACCTGCTGCGTGTGCTTGCAGTGGCGAGGCTTGCTCCTTCACTGCGTTTTTCTCTCTCTCTCTTTCTTACTTTTTATACATCGTTAATGAGCCTTTGTCCCTGCTATAACTGACTGGGCTCCGATGAGGCCCTATTATTGCCGATAACTTTATAGAGACAAAGAAAGAGAAGGAAAAAACAGGGATTTGAAAAATCCATGTTATTACCAGATCCCTGTTATTACCGGGCCTGTTGTTATTGTTATGGTTTCCACTGTACCTTAAAATTACTAAGTTCTATGTGTAAAAAATGTTTTGAGTTTCACATGTCAAGCCTTTTCGAATGCAATTCTATCTTTATAATGACTCTGAATAATCTTGCGATTTTGATAGAGCAGATAGACGAGTTGGTTTCGGACTTTAAGGTCTTAGTAACTCAAAACAGCCAAAAATGTCAGACAGAATTCATTTGGTACAAATTCTAAGGGAGTGACTAGTCAAGATGGCAGTTGCTGTTCTTTAACAGTAATAATAACGGTGGACATCAAAACCTCATCATACTGACAGTCCCGCAGAACAATGTACTACCAAATTAAAGTTCATCGGAAGGTAGGCAACCCAGTAGACTGACGGAGATATGTTTAATAATTTAAAAAAACTTCCCCACAATTAAACTTGCTGGAATTGAGTTTGCATCTTCTGCATACAACAGCAAAGAGCTTCATGAAACCACAGATGCTGGTCCAACATGTGTGTGATGCATTGACATATTAATTAAAATACAAATAAAATATATTTACTGACACTGCAACAATCAAGCAAAATCATCAAGTTGAACTATAAATTTTAATCAACATTATGAACCACCAAAGTTAAAACAAAAATCATTCTCCGATTTCTCAAGTTTGTAAAAATTTTTCGAAGACATGGCACTGATGGTCTTTTCTTCATCCACAATATTTTCCGAACCTAGATCCTCAATTTTCTCTGCACTTTTCCCATCACTTACATTGGGATCTTCAAATCCAAAGCAGAAAGAATTGTCAGAACGCACAAAATGAAATGTCTGTCCTATTACAGCAGCTGCTAAATCATTTTCTTGAGGATCTGGTTCTCCTGAGGTAGAAGGCAGATTCTCTTTTATCTGTTCATTTTCATGAAAGGACCTGTTGGAATTGACAGCTAAAGATGTCGAATCTGGAGGACAATGCTCAGAATCCTCAATGTGTAAACTGTTCAGATTAGCATTGAGGTCATGTGAGCTTTGCTGCTTGTGGCTGTGCCGAAGGAACCGGGAGCCTGTATGAGCTCCCTTGCCGGCAGACGACACGAACTGTGAATGGCGCATGCCTGGTAGGAGTAAAAAAAGAAAAGATTGTAACTCTTGGTAATGACAAAAAGACCAGATAAATTCCAGACTAACTCAACTAACTGTAGTCTATTTGGCTGTTTATTATAGGGCAATCAGGCGCGTTGGTCAGTTGCAGGGGGTTAGGCCAAGCCTATTGTATTGTTTGGCATAAGTGTGTAAAGCAAAGAGAGAGAAGTGTGAGATGAGTTCAGTCTCTGTTCTTTACTGTTTGGCGCAAGTGTATAAAGCAGAGAGAGTGAGTGAATAAGTTAATGGGAGACGAGTGCAGTCTGGATTACAGCAGGTTAGAGTTAGAGGGAAGAGCTGTATCAAGGCAGAGGAGGCCTGCAGAGATTTTGGAGTGAGGAAAGGGGAAAAGGCTGTTTAGAGCCTCAGTCTATTTCTGTGCTTGTGTTGTGAGATTCCAACCCATCGGGGCCCCACCGCTGAGGAAAGGAACACATGACAGAGAGAGAAAGACATGTTTGGCTAACCCTTGTTGTATGTAAACGCATTTCCGCAAGCAACCAAAAGGTTAGTGTTTAATATTCTTGAAAATGTAGATCTATGTTCCAGTAACAACTCTAATCAGACAGACACAATACATAATGTATAATAGAGAAGATCATAATTGTTAGTGTTAGGCTACATCATGCCAAATGAAAGAACAATAGGACCTCTTACCACCCCTTCATCAACAGTACCAATCAGAAAAAAACAACAAAAAACTTCTTTTAAATTTAAAGAATATTTTACATACAAAGAAATTGAATTATTTTGACAAAGAAGTGTGAGACGAAAGTGTAAAATTACAGATGGGAAAATTATAAAATGTGAAAAGCGAAAATAGGAAAAAAGAATGAACAGAAAAAAAGCAGGAGACTTTATGAGACATGATGTTATATTCTTTCCAGAGAAGCTCAGAAACTTGGTATGTACAGTGAGCCTAACTTATAATTTATCTCAAGATATCAACTACAGCAGGCTTAAATCAAAACCGTATCCTTAGGTCCAATCTCTTATTAACAGTGGTTTCCGCCTAAGATACACTAGTGCTTATGATCCTGATTCGCTTAAATTGCCACTGCTATTCTATAAGAAAACAGAATTTTATCCAAATGAAAGTCATTCAAAAGACACCCTCTAAAACTAAAAGACCAATATTCGGATCCCACATTTCAGGTCATGATTCACTAAACAAAAATGCGGGCGCACACACTGCTGATCAACGAAGCAGCAAAAATGATGTCTAAGATGAAACTGTCCCCACGGTTTTATGCACCTCGCATAATTTAGGAAAATTTGATCATTTTTTGCATAATTTCTGATTATTTTCTTTTATAATTCTTTGTTAAGAAAGAATATTATAATTTCACATTTTTGGGCTCAGTTTGCATATAATAATTTCAGAATTTTTCTCGAATAAAACGACGGGGACAGATTAAAAACAGACAGATAAGGAATCTGGTATGCAGATTCACTACCCTTCTACTTCTATACATGTAATAGGATAAGTTATAACTGGGCTATCATTTCATAAGACTAAGCTACTAGATACCAGGTAATAATAATAATAATAATAATAACAACAACAAATGAATTTGATATTGCGCATATCCACGCTCTTAAGCATGCACTATACAACAACAGTATATAACACGGATAGCTTGAATTCGTGAGGACTAGCCTCGGTAGTTCGAGGGATCCATAGTCCAAGGGATATCTTAAAAATATAAAGAAGAAAAATCGGGACAGCGGGCACAGTTCGACAGACGAGTGATTTCGAGCACAACAGGATAGACAGAAAACTAGGAGCCTACAAGACACATGTAGAGGAACAGAAGACACTCACCGGACAAAGACTTCTTCTCGGCTTCCCTCATCTTCTTACGATAGTCACCCAGTGCATTCCTCATGGCTTGTCTTTTCTTCACCATTGGTGCCTTGGTGCTTCTAAGAATTTTCAAAATTTTGACAGTCTCAGCAGCTGGGGAGGAAATGAACAAAGGACTAGAAGAAGTAGAACACATCTGCTGGCATGCATGAACAGCGTCACACCTTTGCTTTCACAACCACACAGAACCTGGAATCGTATATGATATACCTAGACAAAACAGTGCTTTGTATTCCTAATGAATAGGCTATATAACTATACTATAACAAGAAAACTGAAAATTAAATCACTCTTAACTCGACAATTACTTAACTATTGAGATCACTCAGCAAGTCTTACAACACATTTCCTTAAAAGCTCACTTTGGACCTCATATAATATATATCCAGGCGCTCATCAAAATAATGTAATCAAGGAAACAGGAATTTTTCTGGACGATAGTCAATTTTTAAAAAATTTCTTTTTTTGGCTCAATTCTTTCTACGTCATTTAAGAATACATTTCCGTGTGGATTGTACTGAAAAACGTTGATCAAAGGCACAAACAATGTAAATTTGCAGTTTCCAAGGACACTCAAGATTTGGAAGTTACCAAATTCTTTTCTCGCTAATTTTATCTCTTAAAACAGGCGACCCCCACCTCTTCAACTGCAAATATCTAGAGTTCTTCTATTCACAATCATCATAATTGCTTTTCTCTCCCTGCACCAGGGTATAGGCCACGGACAAACACTTTCCACCTTTCTCTAGCCCGGGCTAGCCTCTTGATGTAATTCCATGTCTTCCCACTTTTCTGTACATCAATATCTGTGATTCTTCTCTCGGTTCCACATGATCTTCCCCTTGACCTCTTATCCTGTGGACTCCAATCCAACACTTTCTTTGTTATGCAGCTGCCTGACTTCCTAGGAGCATGTCCAATCCATCGCCACCGCCTTCTTCCTAACGTACCTCATCTCTGATTGGGAATTGTCATGTTTTCTGTAACACTTCCTCGTTAATGACCCTGTCTGTCCATCCGATCCTCAGTAACTTTCTTAGACACTTGTTCAAAAAACCTAGATCCTCTTATGCACTATGAATGAATTATTAATTAATTAATTAAAAAAAGAAAAAGGTATTACATTACAGTGGGTGTCGCATTCAACGAGGTTGCCGGGACAGGCTCATTGTCCTCGTTGGATCTGACCTCTCGTTGAATGTGACAAAGGGTGGAGAGGCTAAACAAAAGAAAGGAGACAAGTTATTATATTATTACACGATGTACCAATACCAGTCATTAAAACAGGTGTTCCCCTTGATGACGAAAATCTCAAACCGCATCAGTGTGCACATGTTTGAGCTGTGTTCTGACCATCATTTCTGCACTTTTATGTACATGTATTTTTTTCCGGAACACTTCTTGAGTGGAAACATACCCTCCCACATCTAGGCCAAGATCTACATAAAGTAAAGGCGGGAGCTTGGATTTTCTGATCAGAGGAAGGAAAGAAAATTGAAGAAAAATGAAGGTCTCGATCTAGACCTACCCACCCAGAGTTCATCCAGTTTCACTTAGCCCGCATCGCGTTCCCACCTACCCCTTCCCATCCCTACCGTATCTAACCCTCGCCTATCCTCTGGGCTTTGGGGCCTATATTAGGAGGCACATTAGATCAAGCAATAGAATGGGTTAAGAATTGAGGATGGGCCTTGTGCTTTGCGTGAGGTGGAGAGAAAGGACAAAAATTCTCCACTTCAGTGGACGCTAATTGCCTTTATTAAAACTTGGTTACCGCGACCTCGTTGAAAGTGACTTCGGTCTGTTTGCAACCTCGTTGGAGCTGACTTACATTTACAAAGAGATATAGAGGAAAAATCGGGGATTAAGGATTGCCTCGTTGCAGCTGACTTCTCGTTGAATGTGACCTCGTTGAATGTGACACCCACTGTATCAAACAAAAAAGTAACAGAGAGCAGAGAGGGATGGGAGTGCTCACCTTGCCTTGAGTCAGGATTTTGTCTTTGCAGACCTAACTCCAGCTGGTCTATGCACCATGCCAACTCTTCAGCAAACTTCAGACTCTGTAATTAACGTAAAAAGCAATGCATGGTTCTTTAGTTCTAGTTTCAGAAAAAGTTTTACGGCACTTGCAACACAATTAGGAATTAGGTCGTATGAGTGCTGACGACTAGTGTTGTCACAAGAGAATAAAAACACAAAAAAGGAGGAGAGACAAGGACAATAGATGTTTGATAGGAAAGAAGGAGCAAACCACACTAGAGCACCCACCAACTTCCCGTATTTGAGCTTTAAAGGAAAACTGCAACATAACAATAAACTTTAAGAAAATGAAAACAAAAGTGATAACTTCAATTTCATCAAGACAGACCAAAGAAAGAGGATTTCAACTTAGGAGCGCTTGCCAGTTTTTAGACATACAATGTTACTTCTCACTAATTTGTTCATTTTTTAAAGTACAAACTGTACAATGTACAGGAAGAAAGAAGATATAGTCCTACTGTTTATAAACTGAAGTAACTATCACATGAGTGCAACAGTATTTATATCTCATTATAATATTTATAGATTTTTAATGAGTTTTATTTCACCAAAAGAAGAGGCTTTGTAACTCCTGATGGTGGGTAATAGGTAAGTTTGATTTAATTAATTGAATGAAAATGCTTACAAAATGCTTATACAGTAGTCTCCCCCAAAGATCCGCGTGGTCGGAAGCAAGGAAAATGAGGGATCTTTGGGGAACCGGGATCTTAGGGAGAAGAATCCACAGTGACTCATGGTCAGGCCTAAAACTGTACAATGATCTTCTCTTACTAAATTTTAAATGAACTGACTTGACTCCTGGGCACTAAAATGTCTTTTCAGAGTTAGTTTTTCCTTTTTTATTTTGTTTGGGGGATGGGGTGGGGCTTTTAAAAAAATACTATGTCAGGTGGGAACCAGTTGGCTTCAGGCAATGCCCTCCACCAAAAAGTTGTTGCTTTCCATCTCTGACAGAGTTCCCCGCCCATGTCACCATGCATCATAAATTGTTGTGTTGTGACAAAACTGACTAATTTTTAAAAAAATGAAAGTATTGAAAGGCAGGTTCACTGCCAACAGAAGACCACAGTATGCAAAGACTTGAAAAGCCGGATGTAGCTCCTTCAAAGCGGGTCAGAGCGGGATCAAGGGGTGACTTTTATATTATAGTAAAAAAAAAAAAAATGTTTTTTCAACACAGCGGGATCTTAGGCGGAGACTACTGTATTTAAACAAAATAGTTTTTGGTAAGTGTTTTACTGCGCTTGCAACTGCATAAGGTCATATGAGCGTGCAGGACACATTATTAAACTGTTTCAGTAGGTAGGAAACTTTGAATTCTCTTATCAATTTTAGACCACCGAGGGATCTTTAACAGGCGCAACTTGCACACGGGCCTTCCGAGATTTTTCTCCCTTGTCCGAGAAGGCTAGGTGTAGATCTTTTCTACCAGAAGATCAGGGGTGAGGCTGAAAGATGGAAGTAAGAAGGAGCCAAGGAGTAGCAGCAGTAGAGAGGCTGCAGAAAGAGTCAGGGGCAATGAGGAGGGGGCAAATGATGTGAGGGGGTGGGGTGGGGGCAGAAAGAGGAGACGAAAGCAGAAGACAGAACATTGCTAAAGAGCAGGAAAGGAGGTGAAAGGAGACAATTTTCTCGCATCTCTCCGTTTGTCACCTGCGCCTGCAATTTTTGGCATTTTTCGATTTTTACATTTTCAACCCAAAAAAAAGAGAAAAAAAAACACTGCCGGGTATAAGAAATTTAAAAAAACTAGTTATAAAAAACGAAAAACAAGCAAACAAAAAATAAACCGAACCTCTTTACTTTTGGAATATTATTACACTACTTATATCGCTGTTTTTCTTTTATTTTTCCCTCTTTGTTGTGTTTTAATTTGCTGGTTCGTTATTTCATTTTTGGGATGGGGGGTTATTGTTCTAATATGTTTTCTATTTTTATGTGTTTACACAGCGTAATGTCATTTAATTTCATGTTGTTCCTACCTTTTAAAATACATATATAAATATGGGTTATAAAGAGCTTGTCCCCACGAAAACAGAATACGGATGGCAGGTCCCTTTGTGATTCCATTATTTACTTGTGTATCCTGTACTTTTTCTTGAATTACACACGTTTAAGGTTAAAACGGCCAATCTTCGGATTGGTGGATACATCCCCTTGTTTGTTAATTTTCTTTTGTGGTTGTTTATGTGCTGTTCAAATTTTGATTTTAATCTGTTGTGAAACTTTTATTTTTCACGTTTTTACATTCTGTGGCAACAAATGATATATTGCATGCTTACAACAATACAAAAAATTATGGTGCTTTAGAACATATTGCGCTATACGTCGTCACAGAGAGTTGAAAGCTTGAAAATTATTGGCAACTTTTGCCTTTTTTTGTGGCAACTTTTGGACCAAAAATGGCAACAAACGCAGACGCTAGAATTTTAAAGAAAAAAATTTTTGGGTCACTACCCGGATTCAATCCCAGGACCTTTGGATGAGAGGCCAACACCTTAACCTGAACATATTGCGCTATACGTCGTCACAGAGAGTTGAAAGCTTGAAAATTATTGGCAACTTTTGCCTTTTTTTGTGGCAACTTTTGGACCAAAAATGGCAACAAACGCAGACGCTAGAATTTTAAAGAAAAAATTTTTTGGGTCACTACCCGGATTCAATCCCAGGACCTTTGAATGAGAGGCCAACACCTTAACCTCTAGGCCACGAGAACCCCGACTACTGTATTGTTCGAGCTATCCCTATATCTGAGATTTACATGTTTGACTTACCTCACTTTGAGACAGTGCCATTCTCTGTATAGAAGTCAGAATCTGAAAAACAGGCATTTCATCCAACATAAAGCACTTTACACTGAACAGGCACAAAAAACAAAAATGAGTGATTTGTTTACTTTTGTAGACAAACTATGATTTTTTATTAAGTTGGAAAGATATGATAAATGGTTAGATTTACATGATAACAAAAGTTACAGTAACATATTGGACATACCAGTTTTTCTTTTCATAACAGTAGGCCTAATCAGAGTTGGGGGAATTTTATAAAATCATCTCTTTATAATACGGATGCAACACTCGGGGACAAGGTGCGAGGCAGGCGGCCTGTCAACCCCCAGCCGCGTACCCTACTCACTCCGGAAGAGGAAGTTAAGCTCGCCAAATGGCTGAAGGAGTGTGCCAGGAGAAGCTTTGGGAAATCAAAGCATGACATAAAGGCCACCGTCAAGGCTATCCTGGATGCACTCCAGGCTGTCACCAGTAGCCCTGACAACCGTCCTAGCAAACAGTGGCTAAAGGTCTACTATAAACGAAATCCAGATGTCTCAGAGGACGCCATCTGCTTTTGGCAAGGAGCGAGACCTGGTAACGCAGGACGGACTGGCTGCCTGGTTTCGTGAAATGAAAGAGTATTTGGACAGCGTGGATCCAACTCTCATCACACCACCGGATCAGCTGTACAATGTTAATGAGACGGGCTTCCATCTGTGCCCCAAGCCTAAAAAATTGATAGCAGCAAAAGGCAGTAAGCATGTTTATAACCCGTCTAGTAACACCAAGCAGAGCATCACTGTACTTGCATGTTGCTCTGCCAACGGCCACTACATTGAGCCATTTATCATCTTCCCCTACAACTACAGGAGGAGACCTGCTATTGATCTCATAGCTGGCTTCCAGGAGGCAAAGTTTCAGATTTCACCTAATGGATGGATTAACACAGATGTGTTTATGTCCTGGCTCAGGGACTGCTATTACTAGCTGTGGCTCACAAAAAGAAACTGGTTGTGCTGTTTGTCGACGGCCACACCTCACACACTTCAAATATTGAGGTGATTGATCTGTGCATCAAGGAGCAGATAGGCTACTGCTTTACTGCTTAAAGAGCCACGCTTCCCATATTATTCAGCCCTTGGACCAATCTCTGTTTGGGGCCATGAAGCAGGCTTGGGGGGAACAGTGCAAAAAAGTCATGATTAAAACAAGAGAGTGTAAGCGTCAGGACCTTCACAGCAGCATTGAAACCTGTCTGTGACGCCACCACAAGCCCTGAGGTTGCCTTGAATGGCTTTGCCAAAAGTGGGATTCACCCATACAACCCTGAAAAGGTGGTGCACAGCGACAATCTGGCACCAAGCAAGACTTTTGCTGAAGGAGCAGCAGTACCGTTGGCCACTGCACCACCACCAGCGGCAGTAACAGCACCCCGGGCAGCAGCAAGAGCACCACCAACAGCAGCAACACCAAGGGGAGCACCGTCTTCATCACCACCAGTAGCACTGTCACCCCCTTAAAATCATCACAATTACTGGAATCAAAATTATGTATGCATGATGCACGATGTGAAATGTATGCCTACACACCAAATCAATGTGCCATTCAAGGACAATATAAAGATTATTATTATTATTATTTTATCATTATTATCATTAAAACATAGCACACATGATTGTGCAGTCCCCCCCACCCCCAAATCATCACTGTCATCAACCCGGCCGGTTTGACCATGATTGCATAAAAATTCTTTGGTCGAACAGGCCACTCCGTAATGGGGCTAAAATGAAAGACGAACACAGTCGAGATGACCCAAATACCATCTAACAATATAAAAATAGCATATGATGTAGTGGTTGACCCGGAACTCCTTAATTTTATAAAGACCCTCTTCTGACTTAGATAGCAACTTCCTGTCACTCTTTGCAACCCATAACAATGAAAGAGAAACTCACATTGGTGAAGAAATCTCTGTTGAAAACGAAAGTTACCTAGCCTTCTCAAGGCTTGCCCACACTCAAAGGGAAAGGAAAACCTCTTAGCAGACGTCTGCTTGGGTTGTAGAAATATTCATTAGAAAAAATAAAATAAACAAATCCAAAAGAAAAGAAAGTAGACATCGAGTCTGATGGCGGCCGGTTTGACCTGAACCTACTCTAGGTCGTAAGTAAGTTAGTCTCATCATTGATGATAATACATTTGGATTAATTTAGTTTTATTTAAAAATTCAAAGCAGTGTGCTGACAGACACACAGAGACAGAGTAAGACAGAGTAGAGTGACACAACAATCCGTTAGTTCTGTGTTCAATCCTGTTGCGTGTTGGTGGCCTTCTTCTTCATCATACTAACATTGTGAATCACTGTTAAAATGACTGAATGTTTAAAATCTAAATTCAGAGCGATTAAAAAAATACAACATAGATCTACATAGAGATCTAAATCTAGTCTAGATCTAGATCTAGATCTAGATAATCTAGATTAGAAGCAAAGGCTAAGGTGTCAGTCCATTCTACATGCCGTTAAACTTAGAAATGACGCATCTTTCTGATTGGCTGCTTATTTTAGTAATGTGATGTCATCACTTCCTGGGATAC